CACTGCTAGAGCGAACAAGTGAGCTCTGGGGCCAGTCCTTAGCAGCACATTTACTTTTTTTATATAGTAAAAAAACATCATAACGCATCGCTCCACGTTTTCGTTCCCTTCCAGAAACATGGTTGGTAAGGGCCGGCCAGCATGAATTGGACCCTGTGATCGATCGATCAGCAAAGAAAGATGCCAGCAGGTTGGCCGTGCCGTTGACAGGTGCGCGCGTGTACTGCTGGCAAGCTCCGGCTCCGCTGTCACAGATCCATCCATCGGTGATCGATGGGTCCCCAAGTGGCCGGGATCGAGCCGTCCTCGAAAGGGAAAACAGCGGCGCCCCGGCGCCAGTTGCTGGCTTCGTTCGCCTTCGCCTCGCTCGCCCTGGCACACGTACCGGTGGCTCTAATCCAAGCACGAGCAGGATTGCGATAGTTCAACGCACCGGCGCGCGCGCGCGCTTGGGACTTGGGAGTGACGCGCTGACACAGTGACACTTGTTGCCTCATGAAAAACTCGCTGCTTCTCCACGCACATGCGTGCGCGTCGCGTCGCCCGGACGCCCCACGGTATGGGAGATGATCGTGATGCAGATAGATATGCGCCAGTACGTCCATAGAGCAGTGCGTGATTCATGAATGAAGCTCCCACGCCCGTCGGCCGTAAGTTGCGATGGTTGTGCTAGCTACCTGCGTGAGGTCGAGAGGAATAGGATGTTTGGTGCCAGAAAACCTCTCTTTTGATACTTGTTGGGAAAAAGTCTACTCCACCCACCCAACTATGGGGTAGTCTACATAACCCCTCAACTATAAAACGGTCTGATTTACCCCGTGAACTTTCCAAAACCGTTTATTTTACCCCCATGCGGTTTTCAGTGGCGGTTTTACTTCTGATGAATGATGGGTTTGCTACCGTAAGGGGTTTTGTCTTTTTTTTTATTTCCGCTGAATCTTTGAAAAATCATAATAAATCACAGAAAAATTATAAAATGAAAAATCTAATTTTGTTGGACTCCACATGAGTAGATCTACACAGTGAACATATAATATGGCACACTTTAGCACAAAACTTTCACTGTAGATTTATATTAATTAGGAAATCTAATTTTGTCTATAATTAATTTCCACTGTAGCAAACCCGCCGTTACTGTAGCAAAACCGTCGCTGAAAACCGTCTGGGGAGTAAAATAGACGATTTTGGAAAGTTTAGGGGATAAATCAGACCGTTTCATAGTTGATGGGGTTATGTAGACTACCCCATAGTTGGGGGGTGGAGTAGACTTTTTTCATACTTGTTGGGATGGGAATTGTAAGAGATCGATCAACCGAATAAGCTCATGCTCCCTCTGCCCCCACCCCAACCCCCCCCCCAAAAAAAAGTGATGTTTTTTTAAATTTTTTATCTCGTTTGACCGTTCGTCTTATTCGAAATTTTTGTATAAATATTATTTATTTTGTTATGACTTATTATATCAATAGAGATACTTTAATAATATAACTTATTTATTTTATTATTTGCACAAAATAATTAAATAAGACGAACGGTCAAACAAGAAGTCTAAAAGTAAAAAACGTCATTTATTTAGGACGGAGGGAGTACGCCCTAGCTCCATCCAAAGAACGCAACCCCTAGCGTAGTCCTAAGTAAAATAACTCAAATTTGATCAAATTTATATTAAAAAACTATAAAATGTTTCATCAAATAAGGCATGGCATATATTTTCATAAAATACTCCACTTATTTTGAGTCATAAATCTAGTATATATTTTTTCTTATAAAATTAGTCAAACTTTGTATATTTTGACTATGGCAAAACTAGAGTTGCAATTTTTTTCCTTAGAATTTAAGCAATGAAAAGTAAAAATTGAGTGGAACTGGTTTTTTTATCTTATATATAACTGTTTGGAACTGGTTGGATGAGCAAAACAATCCAACGTGCTCTTAAAAAAGTTGGACTGTCCACATATTGTCGTAGGGAAAATCAAATTGGAATCGTATAGATAGAAAAGGATTACAATAGCAATGGCCCTGGGCTAAAAAAAGATTGGCAGCGGATGGGCTGCTTTCTCGCTTCGCATCGCTGCCGTAAGGCCCGACCGCCCGGCCTACCTAGAAATTCCAGCCCGATAACGTACCAACATTGTAGGACATGGGCCTAATGCGCAGCTGTTAAGTATGAACTTGTTGGGCCAGATGCGATATAAGTGTTGTATTGATCTCTCCTTTTTTTGTCAGGAAATTATTGCCTTTTTCTGCTCAAAAAAGGAAATTATTGGATTTTTCTTAAACGCTTCTTGCACAATTTTGTTTCCACACAGGTAAGTAATTTTAATATAAAACAGCTAATTATAGTTACTATCGTTGCTTTATCCAATTTCCTCTAATTCTAACACGTACAATATTCTTCAAGATACATTCAAAGCTATACCGGGTTATAATAAGCTTTAGTTATCAATCGATTTACAAAGTTTTCCATTCTCAATTAACAATTGTCCACTTTGCACCACACATTCACGTGTGTTAAACATACGCGCGCGTAGTTGAAACCATCACTCATGTGTCGATATTCGAACACAATAGTGATAAATATTTTCTTTTTTTTATCTTGTTGTGATAAGCTTTATGTACAATAACTTTATCATTTTTCCGTCACCATTCATATTTTCCTCATTTGCATCACAAATCCATGTGTGTTTAACATGCGTCCAGTTGATATGGACCCTCATATTTTCGTATTAGACATTTTCTTATCTTTATTTGCTTATGATATATAAGACTTTTAGTAGTTACAAATTACTTACTTCGCTTGTCTTATAATTCATACTTTTTTTGCTTATCTTTTCAACCGAAACAGTATTTTTCTCTCATAACAAATCAGTCGGAACAGTGTTTCAACAGGGCTGCTGCTGCAGCTGGAGATTAGATGTCAGGCTACTGCACCAAAGCCCAAAGGCCACAAGCTTCGGGCGTGTGAGGGGCTGCTAGAGCCTTAGAAGGATCTGGGCCCTGGCCGTGTCTTGTTCGTGCTCCTGCTGGTAGTACTAAACAATGTTTTTGCAAAAAAAAAAAGCTAAACCAGACTGCAGCATGTCAGTCATAGGGGTATTTTGGTCATTTTCCATTCACCTTTGTTCCCCCACCTAATCCTACAATTGCAATTTCTTTTCGGGACGGAAAGAGTATATAATTTTCATCCCATTAATATCATCCACCTATGCATCACATCTTCATGTATTCTCTGCATGTGTTTAGTTGGAATTTTCGCTTCAATTATGTATTTAGCTTCAAAGTCGACATGTGTTCGCATGTGTATACTGTATGCATAGTGACACACGTTGTGCCTATATATCTTGACTTATTTTTTTATATTAACAATGATAGAACATACTGAAAAGACATTGCAGAAGTATTTTTTGTGTTCGATTTGAAAACAAGTGTTGTTATTCGATTTTTTTTGTACTTCATCATCCCTTCTAAATCCCTAAAGTTCCATGCAAGTAACCATCAGTAACATGGAGCGGACCAACTTGGCACGCATGGCCGTGGCCTTGCTGACCACATGTCACCATTGAAAGATCCTAGCACCTGAAATTATTTTACCAAAGGTTTTTAAAAAGGTTTCAACTTTACCAAAAAATTACTTCATCATTCCTTCTAAACGGCCTGTTCGCTGGTTAGTTTCTGGGCTGGTTTGAGCTGGCTGGTGCTAGTTGTTGTGAGAGGAAAACACTGTTGACTGGTTGAATAAGCCTGACTGAAACCAACAAACGAACAGGGTGTTTGAAGTTTGTGTGCCGATCCATAATTTTCAACTATGAGCTTTGTTTGACAGGGCTCTGGTTTCTTTGAAAATGACTTTTGTTCTGACAGGTAGGAAAAAGTAATTTTTTGGTAAAGTTGAAACCTTTTTAAAAACGGTTGGTAAAATAATTTCTCTTGTTTTTTCAAGAAAATAGGTGAAAGAGATCACATATCCAAAGTACCCTTACCTAGGAGACAACTATTTTGCTAAATCAGATATTTATGTCATCTAATCTATCCTTGGCCTGCTTGCATAACTATTCTAGTACCATTTCCATAAAAAAATTGACATTCTAGTTTGATCATATTTATATTACTAAATAAGAATAATTAGGTTTATCAGGAATATATTTTTGTTACCATACCTATTTTTATGTTATTAATGTTGATGATTTTCTCTATAAATTTAATCAAACTTAAGATAATATGATTTAGCACAAAATTAAAATGTTGTTCTTTTAGATGGAGCTAGTAGTAATAGTTTTCAGGCATGGCCTATGTATATGCAGGGGTGTAGACAAGGGGTGCAGGCAGGGGCCTACCCCTCTCCTAACGTTGCACAGTCTTCATATGTACTTCTCATAATTAGTTATTACTAAATCACTAGAAACTGTAAGTAAATAAGTCTTCTCAACTAATCTAGTATTGTTTTTCTCAAATACTCTTGATTGTCTAATATTAAATGCCTAAAAAATACGATGTGAACTTTTGATCTATGAATTGTGTCCATTTTTATCTTCAATTTAAACGTTTAGCATTTTTCTAAGCTGAAGAGGTTAAAGATGCTTTATTATAGTTCTTTAAGCCAATATTAAAGTTGATAATTTTTTAAGCCAATCTTAGGATTTGGTGATGGTACTGAATAGTTTTTATTGACACTCTGTGATCTAGTCCTCTACTAGTATATCTAAATCCTGGCTTTCGCTCCTGCGTGTAAGAACACGGTAGACACACTAGCCCTATGATTCTACGAATGCAAAGATTGAATTTCATTGAGGATAATAAGGTCTGCATTCTGTAATAGTCTGTGATCCGAGATATTGAGGACACTCGTGAAGTTGGTACGTGTCACATACTCACAGGCGTAATTGTGCATGCACGTTTGCAATCCTAGCGGTGAAGACTCTCCGTCTCATCGTATGGTTGGTGGTAGTACAAACGACGAAACGCATCTTGTTCAAACAGCAAGTGTCAGCCGCCTGATCGACTAATCAAAGGGCGCCGCCTGCCGCATCAGCCTTCTCCACGTCGGCCGCGGCAACAACCTTCTTCTCTTCATCGGCGGGCGCGTCCCCGTCGTCGTCCTCCCCGCCGCACGCGCCGTGTGCGACGTCATAGGTGGCGTGGAGGCCGACGAGGACATAGTAGACGAGCATGACGGCGGTGCAGGCGCCGAAGCGGATGAAGGCGTCCTTGCCGAGCGAGCCCATGAGGAAGAGGTTGGTGGCGATGGACAGCGAGGGCAGCCACGGCACGAGCGGCACGCCCCACACCTTGGGCGCCCGCGCCGCGGGCACCAGCAGCTGGATGCCCAGCGTGCCGCCCGCCCACGCCGGCACCAGCACCACGTAGCCCTGCCACCGCTCCGGCGACGTGCCCCAGTACGCGGCGATGCTGATGGACGACGCGATGATGAGCAGCAGCAGCGCCGTGAACCGCAGCGCGTGCGTCCGGGTCGTCACGCCCCGCACGTAGTACCGCCGGACGAGCAGCGCCGTGGCCATCATCATGAAGATGAAGAGCGTGCTGACGGAGAGCAGGCTGGAGAGGACGTCGAGGCTGGAGAAGAGGGCGATGCAGGCGCTGCAGACGGCGATGAGCGCGGTGGCGTGCACGGGGGTGCCGGTCCTCGGGTGCACCAGCGCGAACACGGGCGGGATGATGTGGCTCCGCGCGATGTGGGTGGTGTAGCGCGCCTGCCCCAGCGCGCCCACCAGCAGCACTGTGGTCATCCCCTTGAGCGCGCCCAGCGCCACCACGTACTGCGCCCAGTGCATCCCCACGCTGGCGAACGCCACCGAGTAGGCGGCGCTGCGGTCGATGGCCGTGTACGGCTGCATCATGCTCAGCACCAGCGCCATGATGCAGTAGATGGCCGTGATGACGGACATGGAGCCCAGCAGGCCCAGCGGGATGTCCCGCGACGGGTTCTTGGTCTCCTCCGCCATGGTCGCGATGTTGTCGAAGCCGCCGTACGCGAAGTAGACGATGGCCGCCGCCCGGAACACGCCCGGCACGCCGTGCGGCATGAAGGGCCGGAGGTTGGCCGGGTTGGCGTGGATGAACCCGGCCACGATGACGAACGCGATGACGACCACGTGCACGGCGGACGCGACCCAGTTCACGCGGGAGGTGCCCTTGGCGGTGAGCATGGCCAGCGTGGCGGTGACGGCGATGACGACCACTACGATGGGGTCCAGCTCGTCGTACCCCTAGGCAAGCCCCGGCGCGTGGATCCGTAGCGTGCTGGCCGGCTTGTTGATGAGCGACGCGAGGTAGGACATCCAGGACCGCGCCACGGCCGCCGTGCCGATGACGCTCTCGAGGATCAGGTTGGCGGCGGCGATGAACGCCGCGGCGTCGCCGAGCTCGACGCGGAGGTAGGCGAAGGAGCCACCGGCCGCGGGGATCTCGACGACAAACTCAGTGTAGCAGCAGACGGAGAGCATGGCGGAGAGGCCTGAGGCGACGTAGGAGAGCACGATGGCGGGGCCTGCATGGTCGTGCGCCTCCTACGCCGTGAGAACGAAGATGCCGACGCCGATGACGGAGCCGAAGCCAAACCAGGTGAGGTCCCACCACGTGAGGCACCGCTGCATCTCGTGCTCGCTCCGGCGGCGCAGTGCGCCCAGCTCCGCGGCGTCGGTGGACCGCCCCGCGAGGTGGTCCCGGAGGCGGGCGGGGGTCTCGCCCAGCGCCCGACAGTACATGCCCTAGCTCGCGAACGATGGCTCCGGGAAGAAGTCGTCCCTGTGCCATCGCCAGTAGCTCCTCGCTGGTACCGTCGCCGCGGCCTTGCCTGCGCCCTCGTCGTACTCCGCCGGCGCGGACATCTCCGCGGGCGCCATGGCCGCACTCACGCCACTGGCGCGCTCCCGCTTCGTGTGGAGGTGGAGTAGCTGGGCTCGGGACTGTGTGTGGTGTGGCGACTGGCGAGGCACCCGTACATATATGGGAGTGCGGATGGGTCGCTCGGTCTCTCGGTCGCCGTCTCGCCGAGCGGAACCGTCTTGGCTTGGAGTTTTGCGCTGCAAGACGCAGGAGGGAGGCACAGGCACGCAGCTACCAATTCAAACGCCGATTTGGTTGCAGGTCCTGTCTCAGAACTGCAGCGCGACGCCGATCGCCCAGCATTTCAGGAAAACCGGCGGCGGCTGGTTGTTGGTTGTGATTGGACGCGTTGCGTTTTCCTGCAACACATGCATGACGTACTACGTGTCACCAAAATCTTTGTACTGCTATGAAGTGATGTACTGCAAAGGCAAATTTGGGCCTTGTTTAGATCCCATCAAAATTTCAAGTTTTTTCACTCTCTTTTCATCACATCAATTTTTAGACACATGTATGGAGCATTAAATGTAGGTAAAAAAAATAATTAATTGCACAGTTTGGTTGTAAATCACGAGACGAATTTTTTGAGACTAGTTAGTCCATGATCGGACAAAGTTTGTCAAATACAAACGAAACGTGCTACAGTGTCCGAATTGCAAAAATTTATAATCTAAACAAGGCCTTGGAAAATGAACCGAGAACAGCAGCCGCAGGCTGCAGCGTCAGCTGGAGCAGGGCAGAAGAACGTTCTTGGCCCATATCTGAGCCGAACTGATCGATGTGTCCTGTTTTTCTTCTAGTTCCTGGATGGCTGGATAGGTGCCGGATGTGCGCTCCTGTTGGCCCGATTGCAAGGGCATTGGTCAGACTAGTGTCTCCATACACTGACAGACAGACATACACCTGGTTGTCCTCTCTCTCTCTCTCTTTTGAGAGGACGTACACCTGCTTCTTTGAATGATCTGTTGATATGGCCATCCATATGGGGCATATGGGTACGGTGCCGCGACACAAAACAAGGACACGGTTGGCCGGCGATCATGCTCGCTCAGCTCGTTGGTCAACAGATTCGCTCGGAGGTGGTGCACGCCGGCAAGTCGATCGAGCTCCGTAGCGCTTGGAGCCACATGCGGTGCGGGGCCGCGGGAGGAAGCCGACACGGGCGAGCGGGACAGCGGGGAGGAAGCCTCCAAAACTCGCCGATCGGGGTCGGGGCCGTCGCAAGTGGCGTCCGGCTTCCGCGGATCACGCGCCATCCATCACATCACGCGCGCCGTGCCGTTGCACTGCCTGTTCACACGCGCCGATACCGGCAGCACGGTCACTCCGTCGGAGCTGCAGCTGCTTGCCCTCGGGGATGGATTTTGCCGAAAATGATCGTGCGGAATCGAATTTTAAAAGTAGCCATGATGCTGAAAATAAATAGGTTCTTTTCTGACAGAAGACGGGTACAGACTGTTATCAAGTGTGTGAGTGTCACGGCAGAAGCATACCGGCTTATTATAAAGTGAACGGTGAATTAAGGGCTAATCAATGATGGAATGGGTTCAAAGTACGCCCGTGAGCCACAAACATAGACCGTCTTTTGTTTGAGGATGATTTATTTGTTGTTACTCGTGGAAGCAAATGAAACGAGTAAACAATCTCTGTAAAGTGTTCTGGATTTGTATCAGATACGCTTGGGTCATCAACGATCAACAAAGAAAAGTCTTCGATCCTGTTTAGCAGGAACACTAATTCTAGCTGATCATAGAAACACCTTAATGTTGTCTTTGGATATTAGAACAGTGGCTTGGTATGTTTGGTCAAATAAAATTCTCAGCAATGTGTATATAATCAAGCCTAAATTATTACCCCTAAAAATCAGAATTAATATTTCTATGGCTCTTGTACAATGGTCGGCTACAATCTGCATTGAATTTAGAGGCCAAGTTAGAATTAGATTTTAAGTTGCCTAATTCACATCCCTCTCTTAGGCATCACGGTTCCTATAACTATTCATTTCATGTGGTGGTTAATCGCGATTGCGTGAATCACATCGCTCCTGCAATTTTAGGATTCCAGTGCAGCCCTGCAAGTTGAAATATTACATTTACAATTGTTAAAAAGGCTAATTTCCATATTTAGACTGGACCACACCCTAGCCTAAAATCTTGGTAGTCTATTTAAGCAAATCAAGATATAAAAGAATCTAGGGTGGAAGGAGAAACTGTTTTCAAAGACAGACAATAGTATCTTGGTTAAAGCAATTGCGATGTCCTCTTTTGATACACTTAAACCCTTGAAAGGTCCTAATGGCTAGAGGGGGTGAATAACCTAATAAAAATTTCTACAACAACATTTAACAAAATGGTTAGACAATTATGAGACGAAGCAAGAGTTGCGTTAGCCAACTCAAAATGCAAGCCACCTACCACAATTCTAGTTTAGATAGTATCTATTCACACAATAGCTATGACACTACCCTATGTTAGCGTGCTCTCAAAGGCTAACTAAAAAACCACACCAACCAAGTAAGCAAGCTCTCACAACTAGCTACACTAAAGAGCTTGACAACTAGTTTGCGGTAATGTAAAGAGAGTGATCAAGAAAGTTATACCGTCGTGTAGATGAAGGAACCAATCAATCACAAGAGTGAATAACAATGAAGACCAATCACCTCGGAATCAAAGGATGAACACAATGATTTTTTACCGAGGTTCACTTGCTTGCCGGCAAGCTACTCTTCGTTGTGGCGATTCACTCACTTGGAGGTTCACGCGCTAATTGGCATCACACGCCAAACCCTCAATAGGGTGCCGCACAACCAACACAAGATGAGGATCACACAAGCCACGAGCAATCCATTAGAGTACCTTTTGGCTCTCCGCCGGGGAAAGGTCAAGAACCCCTCACAATCATCACGATCGGAGCCAGAGACAATCACCACCCTCCGCTCGACGATCCTCGCTGCTCCAAGCCGTCTAGGTGGCGGCAACCACCAAGAGTAACAAAGCGAATCCCGCAGCGAAACACGAACACTAAGTGCCTCTAGATACAAACACTCAAGCAATGCACTTGGATTCTCTCCCAATCTCACAAAGATGATGAATCAATGATGGAGATGAGTGGGAGGGCTTTGGCTAAGCTCACAAGGTTGCTATGTCAATGCAAATGGCTAAGAGAGTGAGCTTAAACCGGCCATGTGGCTTAAATAGAAGCCCCCACGAAATAGAGCCGTTGTACCCCTTCACTGGGTAAAACGCGGGGTGACCGGACGCTCCGGTCTAATTGACCGGACGCTGGCCCTCAGCGTCCGGTCACGTGATACACGCCACGTGTCCCCTGCTTCAAATGCTGTTCGTCAGATTTCAACGGTCGTCTGTTGACCGGACACTGCGCGCAAACTGACCGGACGCTTAGCCTCCAGCGTCCGGTTGATTCCAGTAAGGTTCCAGAAACGATATTTCTCGACCGGACACGTCCGATCATGCTTGACCGGACACAGCTAGCTTCTGATCACTTGTTGACTTCACACTACGCCGTTGGTCAACACGACCGGACACATCCCTCCAGCGTCCGGTCGCTGAGCGACCTAGTGTTCGGTCGTTTGACCGACGCCAGCGTCTTCGCTGTTACAACTGACCGGGCACGCTGGTTCCACTGAGACTAGCGTCCGGTCACTTTGTGACCAGCGAGACCAACTCCTCTTCACGTCTATCTTCTTCACCCTTGCTCAAATGTGCCAACCACCAAGTGTATCACCTTGTGCACATGTGTTAGCATATTTTCACAAACATTTTTAAGGGTGTTAGCACTCCACTAGATCCTAAATGCACATACAATGAGTTAGAGCATCTAGTGGCACTTTGATAACTGCATTCCGATACGAGTTTTACCCCCTCTTAATAGTACGGCTATCAAACCTAAATGAGATCACACTCTCTAAGTGTCTTGATCACCAAAACAAAATAACTCCTACAAAATATACATTTGTCTTGAGCTTTTTGTTTTTCTCTTTCTTCTTTCTAAGTCGAAGCCCTTGATCATCACCATGCCATCATTATTATTATGCTATGATCTTCATTTGCTTCACCACTTGAAGTGTGCTACCTATCTCATGACCACTTGATAAACTAGGTTAGCACTTAGGGTTTCATCAATTCACCAAAACCAAACTAGAGCTTTCAATCTCTCCCTTTTGGTAATTGATGACAACCCTTACACAAAGATATAAATTGAAATTCAATTGAATCCATGTTGCTTATCCAAGCATATTTACCATGTGTAAAATGATATGAACAAGTTTCATGAACTCCATATGGTAGCAATTGCTCCCCCTACATATGTGCTAAGAGTTTGGATTGTAGCTTACACATATGCTTAGATAGGAAATATAGGAGACAATGTCTATCAATTGATGCTAAGGTATAAAAGATGAACCTTTGAAGCATGATACCAATCGGAGTGCACCATTATACTATCCTTAGCACCATGGTTAGCTAGATACCACTTGAAAAAAAAACTTCGAAAGGATAGCTAGATACCACTTGTAAAAACTTTGTAAAAGATACTACTTGAAAATCTATTTGGAATGGATATCACTTGATAATACTTGAAAATGATATTACTTGTGAATAAACCCATGTATGCTAGATTTTTATTTCATCATTCCAGTTTACAATTATCATTCATCACACAATCATGGATATTTAAAATAAAACTTGTGCTATGCAAGCAAACATATGAAATGCACATTCAAATGCACCATACAAGTTTATGAGCTTGCTCCCCCTACTTGTGTGCTTAAGATTTTAATTGATCCCTTTCCTTTATCCTATTTCTTCCTTATTTCAAGTTCTCCCCCTATCACTTATATCTTTATTTCTCTTCTCCTTTGTTGTCTTTTCACTCTATCTTTGTACACTATCTATTTTTATACACTATTTCTCCCCCTTTGTCATCAATGACCACAAAGGTTCAAAAAGGTAGATAATACCATTTGTAGGGTTGAGATTATCAATGTCAATCAATGGGG